CATGTGTATAAAGGGAATAATGCACCTAATACATAAAATTGAAGATTATAGCGTTCTGATTTTAGCATTTTTATCATTTTTATGTAATTATTTAACCGCCCCTGCGCAGCGATGACTTCGAGGGTAAAATTTTCCTGTAATATAACAAGTGTGTATTAGAGTAATTAAATAATTTTTAATTAATCGAAGGCAATGTGTATTGCAATTTAGAAGCACTGAGTATATGTTCGACGCACCGTCCTCCTCAAAGTTCACCTTCAGACTAGCACGTTGTCCTCTATCAAAGTTCTTTTACTTTTCGAAGGCTACATATACATAACAGAAAGTATAATATTCGTAATAAATATAATTTCCTTTTACGGAAAGTCATATAAACAACATTAATTAACAAAAGAACTTTAACAGGAGACAATGACTCAGTTTAATGGTGGATTTCGAAGAGGGCAGTACACAGATCATATTCTCCGTGCTTTTAGACAATATAGATTTCCCCCCTTCGATTAATTAAAAATAATTTAACCCTTTCGCTACTACGAGCGACTATAGTCGCTCTCCATGTGATGCCGCTGAGATACTACGAGCGACTATAGTCGCTCTCGCTAAAGATGTCGCGTAATTGTATTTATGATAAGCGCTTGCGGTTGCTATGCACAGAGTATCTCACTCTGGACATGCCGCGCGAGTCTTTCGTTTTGCATTATTTGTTTTTTACGGGATTCAATAATAAACCAAATGCCTCGATCATCAGTATTACGACACCGGCTTAAACGGTCTGTGCGAATTACGTTAGTGCTCACTGCAGAAATATAATAAATTTAAGTTTTCTTCCGAAAACATATTAAAAGGGATATTGATACGGGAAAGACGCACTCAAAATTGTAAAAGATTTTGGCAAATCATATCCAGCACGTCTGAATACGAAGATCGGCGATCATATATTGATCATATATATGATATTGGCGATAGGTTGCGTGCACCGTGCACTGTTTCGGTGTAGCGCGCCATACTGCGGGAGTACCGCGGCGGAGATCCGCTCCGTAGCGAAAGGGTTAATTACTCTAATGCACTCTGCTTATATTGAAGATTGTTTAAACACATATAAATTGGATTAAATATTACATACCTGTTAACGTACTTTGAATATTGAATAATTTTGATCTTATGTTCCATGAGATAAAAATTTTACCCTCGAAGTCATGCCTGCGCAAGTACATTAAAACAAATATACTTGAGTTTTAAAAAATTACATAAAGATTAAAATAATGCTAAAATCAGAATATTTTAATCTTAAATTTACTTTATAATGAATATTATTCCCGTTATAAACATGCGCAACTTTCGGAAAGTCATATAAACAATATTTAATAAAAAAACTTACATAGAGGACAACGTGCCAGTCTGAAGATGAATTTCAAGGAAGACGGTGCACCGAACATATATACCGTGCTTTTTAAAAACAATATACATTTTTTTCGATTAATTAACAATTATTTTAATATTCTAATGCATTCTACTTATATTTAGAATTGTTTAAACACTTATGCATTGGTTTAAACATTACATACCTATTAACGTATATTAAAAAGAAAATAATTTGGATATGTTATTAATTTATTTATGTTTTTTAGATGACTGTCTTAAGCTTGGTTTTGTTACTGGGCCATAATATAAGCATAAAATATTCTGATCATTTACATTGTTTTTTAATCAATTCTCTTATTATCAGATTTTATATGTGATGCATTCCATTACAAGTAAAATTCAGTCAAAAACTGCTTACAATAAACGTTATAATTGTAATTAGTTTCTTTCATCTTTCTAATTAATTACTTATTATTTTCTTTCATTCTCTTTCATTTATTCCATGAAAAAAGAATATAAATAAAGATTTATAATTATATGATATTCTATTTTCTCTTCTAAGATTCAAAATATTTTAAACATGTTATTAACTGTATATTGATCTTCGATAATACTTGATTTACTTTTTAATAACTCTAATCATAAACATTATTTCAATCGTTTTTGACGTGCAGTGCAATAGGTAGTCATGTCGTGATAAAAAACTTGCTTATAGGCCGAAAATGCTCGGTCATTTTATAGAATGCCCGGCTTATAGGTCGGGCAATAAAGGTCGGCGATAAAAGTGAACAGTACATCTTGTATATATTTCATATTTATATTATAGTAATATTAATTTAAACAATGAGGGAAAATACATTTAAGAATACAACAAAGTTTAATATAGTGGTATGCAAGCCTACCATAAAAATTGATGACAGTGTATACCAATAAAACATCATGTATATCATTAAAACACTTAAATAATTTACTTTACAATAAACTAGACATGTTAATAAGCCGTATTAATTATAATTTACTAGAATATGTGTTTTGGAAAAAAATATTTCCATGTGAAAACGTATACGAAATAATATAAATTGTTTTAATTAATTATATTGAAAAAAATGAGTTCACATTTTTGTAGGAACAAGCTTGTTGTTAAATCTGACAATCATATATTTGCCATATTTAACTATTTTGTTAACCTACTGACTTATCTTTGCTCATTCGAAAGCGTCACGTATACATTATTATGTATGAATTATACAATTCATTGTCTTTTATAATAATAAATCATAATTTATTACACAAATTTGATACCATATTTACATCATTTTTGTTCTCCCTTTCATATTAGAGAAGAAAATATTATCACGATAATGAACAAATTAATATAATTTATAACTCATACTGTTAATTTATATTGATGACATACATCGATTAATTTTCATTAATTTTCAATGTTAAAATACGAAAAATTAATATTATGTTATCTTCTAGAAATTAAATTTTCTCTAAAAATAAGTGTTACTGCGCATGTGTATATGGTTGTGTATGTTTGCAGTAATGAAAAATATGAATGTGTTGAATACTCTATGTAGAAGACAGCCATGTAAAAATATTACCTTCAATGATTCGTTTTGTGTAGAATTACACAATTCGATTGTATATATGTACAATTACAAAGATAATTATTGATTATTAAAAAATATTATAAATAAATATTTGTGTAGAATTCGTCTAAAAGAGCATCGTATAAATGCAGAGCTATCTTTCCTTAATATTTCCTGATAATAGTTAAAAAATCTACACGGCCTTTTCTTCTTTCTATATTATCTAATCTTTACAAAATTCAATAATTAGATTCACTTATAAATACTATCTTTAAAACGGTCCATTCAATGATTAGAAAGTTCCAAATCATTTTCTGTTTAAATAGAATAATTTGATGAAATAATGTGTCTGCTGTGTTTTTTTTTTCTTTTTGTTTATACTTTAATATTAATATTAATTAGAAAATTTCGCGATATATGACGAGAGAAACGATTGATGAGTGCCTATTATATTATACTTCGTTGGTATAAATATTTTGATTAGAACATTAATCATCCTTAACCCTTTAGTCACGATAGCAGAATATTTTGAGAAAGCAACGCCTTTTGTGCGATATAAGATAATAGCATTTTGAATAATCCTATTAGTTATGAGCATTCAGATATATTATTAACACAGTCTTCCTATTTCCTTTTTACCGAATACTACCCAATGGAAACCATTCGATTATTTCGTTCATTAAATCCAACCGATTGAGTGGTAATTTAATACCACCAAGAAATTCATTTTCTTGTAGAGTATCGTGATTCCAAATCGTTGCTTCTAAGGCTCTTTCTTTGATAACGTCAAGTGGCATTCGATACTCGAGCTAGTTAAAAAATAAACATTAAATATATTCATCAAATTTAACAAACATTAATAATTGCATACTTCAGTGGTTCCCAAAGTGTGCCCCTCGACTTTTTCAAGGAGGCGTTACATTTTTTTTAAATTTAAAACGTGTTTTATTTATTTTTATCTAACCTTTGCAAAAAATTATTAGCCATTTCGCAAAATGTACTTGATAAAATTAAATATAGTGTGAAAATCTGAATTCAACAATAGTGCAGAAATTTGAATAAGTTTAGAAACCACTGATATACTTATTTAAGTTGGCTTCACCTAATTAAGATTAAAGAAAGAAAGAGACACTAAAGAGCGCTTTTTAAACTTTTGATTAAATAGGTTGATCATCAAAATTTAGTTTAATAATTAATTAAAAAATTGATTGTTAATATAGAACCGTACGAGGTGGGTTACAAAATTTTTAGCTCAATAAAACAAACTTTTACTTTTATATTTCTAAATAAAAGCGAGTTTGACAGAAAAAAAATTTTTTCTATGTTAGGCTCAAAATTTTTCAGTCTATCTGCGAGTTTTTGTTTATTAACTGTGATTATCAACTTATGAATTTTGATAAATAAGACAGATTCACGTAGAAAAGAAGAATATAAAATAATTAGATTTGTAGAAAATATATAAGATGATAAGATTTGAATATAAAATATAACTGTGTTATATTACGATGAAACCATCTTAAATTATATATCATTATTTAAATTATTGAATATATATATATATACTATTTAAATAATATTATTACATGTGTGTAAAATTTACCATTTCCATGAATGAAGGATAACAACTCTTTTTAACAACCTTAGTTTTACGTTTAGTGGCTTTTGTAGGATCAGGTTTGAGATAAACTTTGACGTATGTATTTGGTTCTTGATTATTAGCAACTTTAGGCAAACCTCTAGCATGATAAACCATTACCGATAAAGTGCCACGGGTATAATGAAGGGATAATTTGATTTGTCCACATTGTATATTCTCTCTAATTTTTTTGTCAGCCCACCAATTGCCGACTAAAACAAAGTACATTAATTTTGTATTATTAAATTCATTGCAAATTTTAAACAAGAAACATGCGTATATAAATCTATAGATGTTATAATACATGAAGTACTGAAGAAAAATTGATAACTGATTTGAATTATCATCGGTTGTAAATTTTTTGTTTATTTAATTAATCCTTTCGCTCCGAAGGGCATATATACATGCTAAAACTCAAATCATTTTCCCTTATTTAAACTTTAAAACAGATATTCTCAAAAACAAAACTTCACATGAGAAAATATTATATCAAATTGTTTTATTTTTTTCACACAGAATCATTCCCTTGCATAGTTGCTCTAAAATGATTACTTGAAACTCATAAATGATCTTCGCACATGAGTTTACAGTTCTTGAGCACATGTAAAGAATGTCCTGTAAGTGCGGAAGTGGTGTTCTACGTCGACAAATTTTCAAACTTATTTTTTTCTCAACAAAAAAGACTCTTATATGAACAAATTATATTCTACAACTTTGACTTAATTTTTCATGTAAAATCATGCCCTACTTGCTTATACCACCAATTATGACACCCTGTATGAACCCCAATCGACACCCTTCGGAGTAAAAGGGTTAATTAAATAAGCAAAGAATTAATTATTAATGACCACTCAAATCAGTCTCCAATTATTAATAATGATAGTATACCTTTTACTTTACGTAAATGAATATCTGCATTTTGTTGATCTCGTAACAAAGGATGGAAAAATGTATAAACCAAATCACTTTGTGATATTTCTGGAGCCATCTTGAATAAACTCAAAAGAAACTTTTCTATATCTGCTCGTCTTTTATCCGCAACTTGTTTTATGTTCGATCGACCAACACTTCTACCGCTTGGTAAACTAAAAAAAATTAATAAAAATAATAATTAAATACGTATAATATATTTTATGGAATATGTTAGTAACAATATAGAAAAAAGTTTATCTTTGTACATATATAGATGTAAAACTGTAATTAACACCAAATACGTCAGAAAGATTTTCGATTGATTAGATATAAAAGAATACAAGATAAGGATTTCTGGATAATATAGTCATTTCTGTCTTTAGAAGAAAGGTGTTTCTTAAATTAAATTATCGATTCTATTAATTGATCCTATTCGAAAGTAAGTCACATTTACTTTAATTTACTAAGTATAAAAATAAGAGAATAAATAATAAATGTAAAAATAAAAGAAGATATTATTAACAATAAGTAGATTTGAGATAAGTTAAGTATTAATTAAATTACCAAATTCAAATGACTTTTAAATTTCGTAGGTTAAAAAGAAGAAAATTACAAAATGGGTTTGAAAAAGTTTCGTGCTCATTTGAAGATAGAAAAAGCAATCTACAATACGTCTCATTATGAAGTTTATCGTCCAATATCTCAATCAAATTTAATTGAAAAGCATGAATCAAATAACTCAACCCAATCTACGACAAAGAATGAAACAAATAAAACTTAAATTGACTCAAGTTCTAACAAAGCCTCTATCAGAACGTAATCAAAATATTATATTGAGAGTATCGTCTACAATATTTCCCATAAAAAAGAGTAGTAATTAAAGGATGAGAATTATAATAAGAGTATAATATTAATATTTATTACCTGGCTACTTTAGCTAGTGGAAAGTGTATACATAATTTTTGATAAAATTCACAAAACTCTTTATAAGAGCGAAAAAGATATGTAGGATCTGCTTGTCCCTTTCTTTGTATACGTAAAATATACATATAATATTTTTCTGGATCATATCGTTTCTGATATCCATGTACTTGTACGCTTTTCAATTGGCCTTCCTGCTGCATCCTATAAAAATAACGATATTAATATTTTGGTTTTAAATTTATATTGCACTTATTGTTAGATATTTTGTATAAAAAAATTAATTCAAACTTACGTATATGTACGTGGAATAAAAGATAATAACGCTCCATCATTATGATCGCCAGAAAATCTTAATTGCGCTAAATTATGTAAAAAGAAATTAAACTGCGTAAACCAATTCTTAAGTGAGCTTTCTATCATCCGTGCAAATGTTGCTGCTGCTTCAGGATTAGTTTGTCCAGGAAGCAATGCTTTTTGCACATAACTAACAGCATCCATTGTAACACCAGAGATGCCAGATGAAGTCATCTGTAGAGTTGTATATTCATTCATCTTTGATTTATTCAACAATTCTTTGAGCTCAATATCGCTTAATTTTTGTTGTATAATATTTTGTTTATAAAGTTGCATTATAAACTCATTTTGTGATAATAGGTTTTCCATCGTGAATTACTGATTAATTTGAACGTGCATACAGTATAAGATATATTTTGTCAAAATTTAAATTTTACTTAAAATTATCCATGATGAAATGTAAACTCATTACATTTTTACGATAGAAACAAACACCATTCAACGACTAAGAAATAAATTTAATGCTTCTTATAATTGAATTATTTAAACTGTTCTGACGAGGAACGTTATAACGGTTCGAACGATAAACGTTAATTAAGCACAATGCGTATAATTTAGTATGATAACGGGCTGCTTTCTGATAAAACATGTGGATAAGTCTTTCCGTTGCGGTTTAGTTGTTTTCATAACAACGTATATAACTCATAAGAAATACGGGAAAGAGTATATTATTATCACAAATGAAACATATCATTTATTTTTAACGAATTCGAAATCAAAATTAAACAGTAATTCATGTATGTGTACTCAAAAAAAAGAAAAAATAAATAAATAATTTATATATATATATATAAACTATATATAGTAATAATATAAAATTTAATTCTACTTACTAATCCAAAAAGATGAAGGATAAGATTGCCATGTTTACGTACAACATTAAATGCTTGGCAACATAGATCAACAAAATGATGAAATTTAGCAGATGGCTTGTCTCCACCATTTATAACATAAGCCATATCAGAAGTTAGAACAAATGGTGTTCGATCTCTAACAAAATAACAAAATAACAAAATATATATATGTATAAATTAATTGCTATTATTATTATTATTATTATTATTAATCTTATACCTTTTGAAATTTCCAAACATTTGAGCATCTCCAAGAAATTTTCCAAAATCTATATGAAATAGATGACCAGATGTTTTTAACATAATATTATCATTATGCCTATCACAAATTCCTAAAATGTAAGTAGCAACGCTATAACCAGCACACGAGGCAGTAAAATTTTCTACCGCTCTTTCGTATTCTAATTCAGAAGGATTATGCTTTGCTAGCCATTCCGCGATAGGTCGATCTTTAAAAGATCCGGTCAAACCAAATTCAACTTGAATTTTTCTAAGCGTTTCTGCATTTGTGACCATTTCTATCATTCCGCGTTTGTGGCCAGTGGGTACGCAAGCAAAAGTAACCATTTTTAAATCAAGACCTTCCTTTAACCACAATTTATCCATAATGCGCATCATTTGTAAGGTCAACATATCTTGCTGTAAATCATCACCAACCTATGATAAAAAAAAAAATTTATATTTTAACCAATTCAAAAATATTCGAATTTATTCTATTGTATAAATAAAATACCTTAAAGATTGCAGGACTTAGTACATTATCACAGCTAATAAAGTTAATCTTCAATGGAAGTGTAAAAGATGGGAAATATGAGCAAATTTGTACATTTATACCATAAACTTGTTTACTAGGAGACAATGGTAAACATGTACCATTATCTTCCATTAATTGACAATGTATATTTTGTAAACCAACTTTGAGTGTATCCATTCGTAACGACTCTTTAATAGTTTTAATATTTTCTGCCACCTCATTCAAATTCTGAAAAAATGATACATTCAATTGTATTTATAATGAATAACAATTGTTATATGAAGTAAAATATTTAACAAAAATATACACCTTAACTAATAATTGTTGAGTAAGAAAACTATTTCTTAACGCATCCCCTATAACTGCTAGCAAAGCTCGCAACATTAATTGTAATCTCCTATGATATCTTGCAGAACTGATACCTTTCTCATCTTCTGGTACAATTTCTGCAGAATTCTAAAAAAAATATTGTATTGATTATTATGTTAGTGTGCATTTTATTTTTATGGAGAGCATGAAATTGATGGGGCAAGGTTTAACCTTTTTGCTACCATATATGATTATAAAGGTAGAAATATATTACCTTCGCAAGAGAGATTAACCCTTTGATTGTTATGGACACATGTATGTTTTTATTTTATAATAATCTTTTTTATTTTATATACCCGATACACACAAGTTATGGGATTTTTAAACTTGAAACGTACCAAAAATTGATACTGCATAAATTGTACACTTCAACAGTGACGTTTTATTGGCCAGCTCCATTACAGTGAAAAAGTTAAAAATAAATGATATATGATGATAACTTTCCAAACTGTACCTGAGGACTTTGTCCTGGTAATGCTTGCGTTAATAGCCAATAAATATGATGAGCTACTCTCGGTGATATCAAAGCTCGTTCCAATAAAAATTTAGCTAAAGGAGAAGCTTCATATGTTTCATGTTTCAATGCTTGAAGCAATTGCGGTAAGTAATCAACTAGTTCATCGTTACTTAATTCTTTGATCCATCCAACAGCCATTTCTCGAACTTTCATATCTGGAAAACTGAAATTAATATTAACTTACAATTAATGAAAAATATTTTTTAATACAACAATTCAACTTACCATGGCAGAAGTAGTTGTAAAGCTTGTACAGGTGGTAAAGAACTCCAAACTCTAAGAGATGCATGCAAATCTGGCAAACATGCCCAATCCCAACTATGCGCAGCTAATAATACTTTAGGTAAAGCTTCCGGTTTATCATGTAAATAATGTCTTTTTTCCCATAATATTTCTCTTTCATCTACAGGAGGCCTAAATTATAAAAATAGAATAGTAATCAACTCGAATATCATTATATCATATAGATTATATATTTAAATTAGTACCTTGAAAATGTATCTTGCTGTGTAATATCCAATAACAATTCTTGCGTATTTTGGTCCAACGAATTAAAATCTAATGATTTAACATCATGATCTCTTAATTCTGTTGGAAAAAAGACATTTCCGCCATAATCTGGTAATTCTATTCCTATAATAGGATGCGTATCACCATGAGGATGAGTTCCGGGTGCTGGTGCAGGACCTAATCTTTTATCAGCAATAGCAGGCCAAAGAGATAAAAAATAACTTCCTTGACTTATAATACTAAAACAATATTAACAAATTTATATAAGTATAGAATAGAGCAGCAACATATAGAATTAAATCTTGCAATATGTTTTCTCTCTCTCGCCTAAGATTTGATAAATTTATTTACCCGTCATAATTAAAGAATTGTATAGCAGCCCAACCAAGTTCTTCTTTTCTCATAGCACCTTCTGATACGGAATTTGATGATTCGTGTTCAGTAGGTTGTAACGTACGCCCATAAAGAACTAATACTAACCTGGCTTCTCTCGGAACTTGGCATACACTAGTCCCACGGAATTCCAACCTATGTTAATATATTAAATAATACAATAATAATTATATAAAATAATTTTCGTATATATTAGAATACATAATTGCATTACTTACCAAGAATTAAATAAAATTCTGGAATAAAAACTCAAGCTTATTGTTGTGGGTTCTGATAAAACGGGATTACCAACGGGTCTTGTACCGTGAAATATTTGAGCTGCAATAATGTAATCGTTATGCTTCCAATGTCCTGGTAATCTGTGTAATGATCCAACTCGTACAAGCACAGTGTCTATAACTTCTGAAGATACTACCCTGTCTATTAAATTATAAATAAATAAATATAGTCACACGTATATAGAATTCGTGAAAAAAATTGAACCACTGGACTCTGACTGGACCAAGATTCGAACCTGGGCCTTTCGTTTTTTGAACGACTGCTCTATCCATTGAGCTATCCAGAGTCCTCGGTCAACTTTCTCACGAATGCCTACTCTATTTAACATGGAGGTGCTCAATCCAACATGTATATAATCTGTATAAATTAGTTAAATAATTAAAAAACTAGTATTTACTTGCAGAATTTTCTCCTCTACTGTTCAACTGAAAATCGACTCTAAAAGCGTGACAATAAGTTTCTACGAGATCTTGAATCGCATCACGAATTTTATGACAATGGGAAGTGATAACATCAGGAAACTTCGTTCTTAACGTTACAACCGAATAATCTCCATCTTCATGCACTATTTCAGGTTTCTTGCACTCTATGTTCGTAGTATGAACTTGAGGCAAAAATTGGCAGCAAGCGTTCACAAAATTATCTACTGCTTCTGTGATTTCAAAAGTTTCAATATTTCCCATCAATGCGCAGACTGCTTTCACAGCTTGAACGACACCTTGTGGTTTGAGCTGAGGTAAAAGAGCAGAACCGTGATTTGTTGTCACTAACTCCATTGCAGTATTTTCTACTCGTTCCATTTCTTTTTCTACTGTTTCTGCAATTTAAAAATAAAATATGTTATAATTATTATCATCAAATGTAAATTCAATTAATTTAAATAAATTTCAAATGAGTGTACCCAATAGAATAAGCAATGAATCATAAGAAATTGGTTGTAATGGTTCGTTAGGAAGTATATCTTCTAATTTAAGACATTGATCCTGATTATCATCTTGAAGCTAAAAATTTGTTAAAATTATATTTAATACAAGATATGTGTTGAATAGTATAGAAATAATATTAAAATCAAAATATTTACTGTGCGAGCTATAGATTTTTTTATTTGTGCTCTTGTCATGATAGCTAATTCAATGTCTTTTTCCAACTTAATACACTGATGAATATATTCGTATTGTGCTAATATTGTATTGGGAGCTAAATATTCTGCTAAGCCCCAAACTCTTAAACAATATTTTTCTACGTTTACTGTATCTTCATTATCCAAAGAACAAGCAACATTTAGAATAACATGTTCGACGCTACAGTTTACTACAAAACATATGACAATTAAACATATTTTATTAAAACCTTAAAAGAATTTTGACGTTTTATAAATATCACGAAAACAAACACACCGTTACAAGTAAATGAAATGGACGGAATAGAATCTTTCTCGTTATCTGATAATTGTGGATGCACAACTAACTTAATACTTGTGCCTTCGGGATATAAGTTTTCCATTGTTGGACTTATTACATGACCGATATTTGTACTAGGATTGTTAAATGGAAATTCACCTAAAGAAATTAAAATAATTAATTTAAAATGAATATAAAGTAGAAAATTAAATATTTTCTTACTAACTTCGCACTGATTTAACCATTTGATGAAAGGCGCTCAAATCGCCATCGTTACTAGATGGTCTAGTTTTTATCACCGTTACATTTTCATATAAACGTGATTTCTTTTTTTGCTGTAAATGATAATGCGATAATATAAAAATTAAAAATATAACAATTATATGCATGTATATTTATACATGTGTAAACTTACACGACGATCCAAGGAAGTTCTTCTTCTTTCAATAGTATTCCATGCAGATGAATTTCTAGGTGGCAGTGGTGGAGGTGCAGCTGGAGAAATAGCTGGAGATTTACCTGACTTTTCTACCGCTACATATACAGGATCTGAGTTTACGCTCTCATTTGTGCTATACATGTAATCGAAAGGATCAAAAGGATCATATACAGTTCCACTAATTTGTGATTGCATATCTAAACAAAAACAAAAACAATAAATTCATATAACATATTAATATAAAGAAATCAATTTAAATAGACATAAAATGAATTACATACCATCCTTAATGTCACTCGAACATTCGCTGCTATCATCAGTCTTAACAAGTAAAGGATCAAATGCTTCTAAAACACTGACTCTAACATTTGTTTTATCCTCTACTTCTTCGCATGTATTCAAATCTATAAGATTACTATTTGGTTTTTTTTCTATCACTTTCAATACATTTAATTGTTCATCTGCACAAAATTTAGGTACTAACACATTACAGGAGGCTGGTGTTGCAATGCCAGGTCTGTAATTCAAAGGCAAGGGAGGAATCTGAAATAAATAATATAATTTATTATTTATCTATACACATGATAATATCCTAATTATCTCTATTTTCTATCTATTTTGAATCCAATATTTCAATATATTTTTGATCAAACACCTATGGTTCTAATGTAAGTAATTGTTAATATTCAATGTTATAACTAATAAGTATATAATAAGCGATTCAATTTTGGAACATGCAAATGAATATACCTGTTGAAAGAAATAATTTCTAAAAGAAAGGAAATTCCATGCAGACTGTAATAAAAATAATATATTAAACACTTACATAATTTAAGAAGCTACCGAAATATACAAAGATATCAAGTTCATTTAATACAAATAGTACGTATACAAAGTGTCTTGAGGTTTATTAATCAAATTGCAATAGCATATTCTATAAGTGAGAATAAGAAAAAAAGCATAATCGGTATGTGAATATAGTAGAAAAGGATAATTTTTTCCTATGAAAGATATTATGGACAAATGAAGCGAATTTTATAAGATAGAGCATATTCAATTTTCATAATAATCATATCCACCTAACAAAGAACTTTCAGCAAGAATGCTATTATTTATTTCAATTTCATTTGTTTATAACTATGTCATAATGCGTTTCTAACCAAACTTCAAATAGCATTTCTTATTTCCACTTATAGAATATGCTTTCGCAGATTGACCCGTAAATCCTAGGATACCCTGCATATATATATATATAAATATGTTAAGAAAAAAGTATAACAACAAATATTACTTGCCTGTGGTGTAATATCAGGTACATTGCTATTGCTACTAGTGGCTCTTGACAAGATAGGACTGATTCCTGGCGTTCCAGGTGTGCAAGGTGCAGTAGAAGATCTAGGCCCAGGTGAAAGTGAATGATATCTAAAATCTCGAGATTGATAAGATCCTGCTGAACTATTACTTCTTGAAATCCTTGCCTGCTTTTTTAATAAAGCAGGATGAGTCTCCCATTTTGGTTCTACCAGTGTTTTTCTATTCATATCGGAAACATTAAATAATCATAGATGATTCTGACATCTGCAAATTTTCAAATAAACATGCTGCATCTTACGGAGGTGGAGGAGGTGGTGTACAATATTCTGATAAGTTATCCTGCTTGACCGGGCTTGTAAAATTAATTAAATCGGTGGACGTTTCTTGGCTCGATGTAGCAGTTGTCGAATTTCTTCTACAAGGGATTGGTGGCGGTGGAGCCAACAGCGTGACATTTTTTGATTGATTTTTATTAAAAGATCCAGGACGTGGACGACTTCTAAATTGTAACCTATTAATAATCATAATTAATTAATTATAAATATTACATACTATGTTCAGAAATAAAAGTTTTTACTCACATGCCACCTTGCAAAGCACCATCTGTCGTTGTTGATCCACTACTTATATCATGTGAATTATTTTGTGACGGATAAGACTGTTGTATATTACTATACTCCAATCGTTGCTTTTGTAACCTAAATTTTTCTAAAGCTAAACTTTCTAAGCTCAATGCTTGAGCACGTTCCAAATCTTCTTGAAATTGACGCTCATAGTCTATCACCGAAGATCTCTGCGCATGTGTATTTCTATTGCAATTTGACATCTACAAATAAAATATGAAATAATTAAAAACAATGACAAATAACAGTAACACAGGTCTTTAATGCAATAAAAATCAAATTTCAATTAAATAATCAATGAGATAAGAATTTCTAGAAACATGAATATAACCTATACATCTGAAAAGAATAAAAATAAGATAAAATTTATTAACAATCTGATTAACACGATATAAAAACAAACAATTCAATATTCTACTATGCAAGAATATTAAATAATATAATAAATAAACAAACCTGTGTTTATTCTCTTAAACTATATCTACAATTCATAAGTAAAAACTTAACCTTTAAAAATGTGAGAGGTAGAGGATAATAATAAAGTTTACGTTGGAGTATGTAGAACGTAGTGTGTGATAAAGTTAAAATAGATGTGCACACAGATACACTTCCAAGAGTGTTTATCAGTATTAGTACGTTTAAATGTCCTTATCGTGTGTTCGGACTAGTGCTATCCCGTAAAAATAAAAGTGACAGAGAGGTATATAAAAAGGGAATTATAAAGAATGAGAAAAAGAACGATATAGTTAAAAGTAGAAATGACTAGTATAGGTAAGATATTTGGCAGATGCTCACCGTGGCATTATTTTAGTTGCAAGGTCTCGTTGACAATTGTAACACAGTGTAAATGGCCGTACGATTAGTTTAAATACGGGCAAGAAAATACGGATTCGAAGGCGGAAACACCGTTATGATCGGGAACGTGACACTCGTATATTTCTTTCTTCCTCTACCCCACCGTTATCCTCATATAGTCCCCTCTCTTACTCTTTCACTCACACACTTACTCACTCACTCACTCACTCACTCTCTTTCTCTCTCTCCTACAGTTCACCCCACTTTGTTTCTTTCACAATGTTGTCGACAATATGTGTGTGCCGTGTTGTGTCAGCACGTTCGCCTTTTACGATTCTCCTGCCTTTTCTTTGAAATATTTTTGATTCGAGGATGGAAATGAGTATTTCTATATCTACTTGAAGTTAGTTGTAAAAGGTAAGAATAATGGGGAAGAAGGAGAAGAAGAAGAAAAAGAAAAAGAAGAAGAAGAAAGAGAAGGAGAAGGTGGATATGGAGGAGAAATAGTGGTGGAGGAACAGAAAGAGGAAGTCAATGTCGACAGGAGAAACGCGGGTAAATGCCGCATGACCAATATTATCACGTTCCCGTACTTGTTGTAATACATGGTGTGCGTTGGTGGCGACTGGTAGCGGCCGCCGAGGAGAACGCCGACGCTTTAATAAAACTCGATCGGATGTGTGTGCGGCTTTGTAATTGAAAGCGGCTCAAAGCGGCTTCATGACGCTTGCGTTAACGCTTAATACTTTCCGGACGCGTTCACTGATCAGCTTCTTGATCTCGTTACTTCTATCACTGCCACATCCATAACTCTTTCTTTCTTTCTTTCTTTCTTTCTTTATTTATTTATTTATCCTTCTTTTTTGAAAGTTTCATTTCCTTAATCGCATTAGGAGTGTTAAGTCTTGAAACACGAACTTGTCGTCACGATAACTGGGGAAATACATGCGAAACACTGTAACCGTGGAAACGTTTCTCGAAAAACGTAATTAAAAAGTTCATGTGTTATTAATTTTATATTATACATCATTGTTTGTTAATAAAACGATGTATTCTATGAACTATAAAATCTCTGTTTTTTTTTTTTTTTTACTTATTATTAGTTTATTTTTTTCAAATAAAATTTCTTTAATCGGATTGGAAATATTAAGTCTTGAAATTTAATTTTTGTTGTTAAGAAAACTGGAAAAATACATGCGAAACACTGTAACCGTGGAAACGTTTTGCAAACTGTATTTAAAGTTTCTCTCGTTATCATATTCATTATTTTATCTTTCCTTTCTTTTTTTTTTTTACTGCTTACCTTTTTTTCCACCGCCTATCTTTTTTGTTTGATAGTTTAATTTCCCTTAATGGCATTAGGTGTGGTACGTCTTGAAACACGAACTTGTTGTCACGAAAATTGAGAACGACACGCGAAACACTGTAAGCGTGGAAATGTTCTGAAAAATGTAATTGAGAATTTAATGTGATATTAGTTCTATATTATACATCGTTGTTTGTTAATAACACAATGCATTATAATTTTTGTCTCTTTGTCTACTTATATATTTATTTTTTTAAAGTATATACAATTTCTTTTTTCGGATTTGAAATAATTAATCTTAAAACTTGATTTTTATAATCAAGTAACTAAAAATGATATATGAAACATTGAAACTGGAAATGTTATGAAAAATTTAATCAAGATGTTCATGTTAAATCGTCGTTTGTTTAATAAAACAAAAATCTCTTCGTACGAACTATGATGCTCTACATATTTGAACTTAAAATTTAAAAATCAATGAATGACGTATATAAACAACACTCGTTATATCACATAAGCTATCTTCTCTTCTTCTTTTTCTGATTATATTCTTTTTTGAAATAAAATTTGTTTAATCATGTCGGAAAATATATTTTTTAATTTTTACTCGTCTTACTTAGGCGATTCCAGTTATTTTTTCATGAAAATCTGTAATCGTGATAATTTTAAGAAAAATGTAGTCAAGAAATTTATGCGAAGCAATAAACATTGTACGTCGACATTTGTTAATTGAATAATGCTTAAAATGATCTCTAAATATTCGAATTTTAATTTAAAAAATCGATGACCCATAACGTACGATATTCGTATCGTCCATGCTCTTTTTGTCTTTGTTTATCTCTTCTATTGAAATCATATTTCTTTAGTCGCGTTAAGAATGATTTTTTTTTTAATTGTCTCAAACCTCGATTATTTTTATCATGAAAATGGGAACAGCATTTAAATTAATGTAACTATTGAAACATTACGAAAAATGTAACCAAAAGTTCTTACAATACCAGTAAGTATACTTAATCGTTTATGGATGAAACAATGCATGACATGAATCATGCATTCCTCTAAATATTTAAATTTAAATTTAAACAATCGATAAAAAATTACTTGTTATACTCACTGTTTAGCAAACTATATTCTCTATCTTTATTAACTTATTTACAGTAAGTGTTGTACTTCGTCGATTATTAATAAAATTATACATGACATGAATCATGATCTTTAAATATTTTAATTTATATTTAAACAATCTATAAACGATGAAGTATATATAAAACTTGCTGTATCGCATTAACAAACCATGTTCTCTTCATATGAATACGTTTTTCGTATGCTATCTTTTTACGATATCTATAATTTAATGAAATATAATTTTTTTTTTAATAACTTAATTAACACTATTTTTACCACGGTTTTGTGTATACCTATTTCGACTAAAAGGTATTTTTTGACACCTTTGGTAGAAATAATATTAAATTTTATAATTTGTTCTTGAAAGACATTTAATAAATTTGATTAATCATTTTATATGTCAAAATCTAAATTCACCTTTTGTTTCTTTTCTTTTATTAATTTTGCAAACAACAAACTACTACTTTTAATACACGTGTTGTATTATTCATCCATTGTCAGTGTTTTTATTTCTTTTATGAGGTCATCTTTTTTTTTAGTTCGATACTAAAAATTGTTACCTAAGTAGGAGTATCAATTGAACTTTGACAAATAAACTTCCAAGAATTAAAATTGTTCTTTATTTTTCTAAAAATAACTATAAATTATTTTTTGTTCCTTCGTTCAAAGAAATTAAATGTCTCTCTCTCTCTTATTGGTGTTTCTGATAGATTAATACAATTTACGATCATATTTGTCCTCTTGAATTTATTCGTGCGTGACACGTGTCGATTGGTCGTTGTTTTCGTACGATTGTATTACATTAAGATAACATGTTAGTTTTTTTATATTTTCATTTAATATCAATTTACGAATGGGATCTCTTGTTAATTGGTTTTGATCAAAATGTATTTGTTTAATAGATTTATTTTTATTTTTCTCGTATTAATATTTTTGTTATGTTGGTCATCATGTTAATTGAATTTTGAGATACATTATTTTCTATAATTATAATTTTTTTATTATGAATATAAATCATTTATTAAATGTCCAAATAATTTTTATGTTCAAAAATAAAGATTTAAATAAAAATATTAAATAATTACCTTTTATAATGCCGAACAATAACTACATAACAAAATATGCGTATGCAATGTTCATATTATATTTAACGATATTTTTATATTGTAACAAACGGTTAAAAATACGCTATTTATATTTCATATTTATTTTATCTCAAACAATAAGCCAAATGATAGTGTTTTTTTTTATTTGTAAATACTTTTTATGAAATGTACTTGATTTTTTAATTCTTCTTCCTAATTTTTAATAACCATTATTAATACAATTTTTTAACAAATATTGAAATACATTTATCATTAATATATTTTCTTTTTATTTCTTAATAGTTCTCTTTTTGAATTTCTTAATTATTATTTTTTACATATGTGGTTTTTATTGTTTATTTACTAATGTAAAACAAATCGTATGAACTTATTGGCCAATTTAACATGTATATAAACGTGGTTCGTTTATTTTGATAACATTTTTTGATATTAATACAAAAATGGTTAATAGAGACATTAATAATCCAGTAATACAATTATTACATCTTGTGACTTAATAAAAGATGTTCATTTTTTTATTAGGTCATGAGATCTTTACCAGGAATTGACCTTACAATAACGTAAATTCGTTACTGATCAATGAGACAGGAGATCAATAGGATAGTATAGGATTTGATTTGATTAGAAAACAAGTATAAGAGGGTCAGAATGACGTTACAAATTTAACCTTTTAATTAACAATTTGTATGACGAATTAACTCGTCATTGTATTTTGAAGACAACGCAAGTAAATTTAGACTTAATATACGTCATTGGTTTATTTTTTATTAAAGAATATATATTTAGGATTCTCTTTATTCTTTAATAATCACGTAAATCACAAATTACTATTTAACATATATATTGTTAGTGCATAACGAATTCGCATTTCTAGCAAAATTTGTTCTCCAGTTGAAAAATGAAGGACCAAATTGTCGTTGGTAAAGCACACGTGCTCATCACATGTGCTCCATAATTCTTTCTTTTTCTGGAAACATTTTAAAAGTATTTAACCTTGAAGGAACGTTAGACTTTCGCTAAGGGTATGCAATAGGATAAAAAAAGAACCCCATTGCTTCTGTTTTCCTAATTTTAGATTTTCTGACTAACAGTAAGTACAAGGGTTGTCTGGCGTTTATCCATGAAATATTTTTTATTAGTCATAGGAAATGTAGTCATCGTATGCAAAGGAACAATCATTTACCGTTGTCATCAATCATTCCGAAATTCAGAAGTTGAGATGTTGGATCCTTGAACTGAGCTAAATGAATAAAACAAACAGAGTCGAGATTACTGCAACTGTTTGGGCAATTTCGTGCACAAAACCGTAATTAGGGATAACAAGTGAGTCTTATATAACAACCCTAAGCGATAAAAATCAATGGTTGGCCCCGGGCAACCTTTAACTTCAGTGGTAAAATCAAATATTCATTCGAAAAAAAGATTTGCTCTCTGTATGGTGGAATTTCCGAGGTATCATCCATTTGCTTTTACCTGGTCAAATAATAACTACAGATTACTACCAATAGCAGTTAATCAATTTATACGATGAACTTAAACGGAAACGATCATTTATCAGCCAAGAAACAAGGTATGTTATTTTCCATCATAACAATGTTCAGCCACATGTTGCTCGAAAAATATGGGATATCATTTATGATTTGGTATGAGAAGTTCTTCTTCATATGATGTACTCTCCAAACCTGGCCCAATCCAATTATCATCTTCTTAAGGCCTTAAAATACTATTTGTAAGAGGAGCACTTAAAGTCAGTTGAAAAAGTTCGCAAAAAGATTTTGTAACATGAGCCTGTATCTTGTTTTTATAATAAAATCTCCAAGTTAATTAAAAAGGTACCGATCAATTTGCATATCTAATAAATAGAAAATATTTAAAAGTATAATATAATATGTCGATAAAATTGTTTTTTATTTTTCTTTTCATAAATTTTATTCAAAAGTCATCGTCAATGAAATATTTTTCCTTTTTTATTATAACAATACCAAATTCAATTTGGAGTATCAGTCTGTTACCATAAAGAGAGAATGATTTAAAAACTAATGAAAATGTGTAATAATATAAATCTTTATAAAAACAGAAAAATAATAATAATATTAAGTACATGCAATTCAATGGTTAGATAAATATTATCTAAGAATTTTCGGATTCTGAGGTAATGTTAAGCCAAAAACCATTTTCGCTGGTCGTAACAAGGCTACGTCTGCTGAATTTGATAGGATGAACCGTTTTATCGGAAACCTGAACTCCGTGGCTTCTCAAGAAGGAAATTATTCCAATTTTAATCTGCAATAGTGCAAACCGGATTCCTGAAAAAAGAAAACAAAAAGGAAAAGAAAGAAAATGACGATATAGTTAATACGTGTACGTCAACGTACACATCGTAAATCCGTTATATTGCGGAACGTAATAACACGTTATCGAGGCAAACATTATTCGAGGATATATTACACAGTCATTTTATTTTCAAAGAAAATCACGGATAAATATAATATTTAAGATCGATAACAAAGTTGTTATAAATTACTGGAAAAGAAAACATCCTATCGGACATCTCTAATAACTCTAATTGTAAGCCATGTGCTTGAGAGTAAACAAAATCATGATAAGTTTTATCTTCCTTTGGGGTTTTGGTAAAACATAAGTGTCAATGACGTAACTTTCGAAGAATCTTTGGTATGCAAAAATTTAACGACGTTATTTCCATTATCGAAGTCACAATAACGATTTTATAAAATATAATTTATTATCAAAATATTTACAAATTATTTTTTTAATATTATTTAAAATTATTTCATTCAGTAATTTATATCTGATAAGATCATTAAACTTTTCGTAACAAAATGTAATTAATATCCTCGTAAATGCAGGCTGTTTCCCAAATCGCTTAATTAAACCTTAACTAAAAAATTAAAAATTATTTTATGCCAGATATTTGGAATAGTGATTTTCCATTATTTTTTTTATTGAAAAATAGTGATGTTTGTTTCCACATACAATTAAATTATTTGAAAAAAAAAATCTTAATTTAAAGTATAAGATGTTAAATATTACTTTTTGATTTGTTTGTGTGTATTGCAAATGTTTCATCAATCATGCTTTTTAAAACATTGTAATTGAAGATTAATAATTCTATTAATTATATTAATCAATAATAATTCTATGAATGATCAAATTTATTATTTATAATAATTTATTAATACACCAATTCTATTAATAAACTAATATTGAGTATTTTGTTCTGTTATTTTTCTTTTTTATAATAAATTAAGCGTCTTTAGGAAAATCTTGTATAATAAATGTAATAAAAATTTGTATATTAATTAATTAAATTATTATTTGTAAAAAGAGATTTTATTACCTATACAAGCACGTGGACCTTCTCCAAATGGAAGATACGTGTATGGGTGTCTCGTTCGTTTGTTCTCGTCAATGAATCTGTCAGGATTGAATACCTCAGGGTCTGGATAATGTTCTGGATCATGATGGAGACCGTAAATTGGTATGACTACTCTCATTCCAGCTGGAAGTTTTACTTTGCTTCCGGGTATTTGGTAGGTGTACTCACATCTTCGAGAAAGTAACGGAGCTGGTGGATACTTTCTAAGAGTTTCTGGGAGAATAATTAATAAACATATTAAATAAAGTCAATTGTTAATGTTTTCGTTGTTGAACGCATGGGGTTCTCATATGGTGTCGCGTAATTAAATTTGGGGATCCCAAAAATGTTAACCAAATTAAACAATTTCTGAACATGAAATAACCGAAAAATGAATTCCAAAAACGAGTTTGTTAAAACTAAATGTATAATATGTCTGAGTGTGAGTTTATAATAGTAAAAGAGTAGATAGTACAGAATTTTATACTCAGGGTTAAGAAAATATTTGCTCGAATAAATGGGATCGCCAAGTGAAAATTTGTGAAACCCTGATTTAGACAATGCGTATAAAATTTTCAATTATAAATTAAGTACACGATAAAAAGATATAATTTGTTGGTGATGCACTAACAGTTTTGAATTATTTTACGCACCGTTGGTAAGCTTGAAAAAAACAAATGATTTAAAATACAACATGAACAATACCGAAAATGTAATTTTTTATTCCAATATATAATTCTTATGAAAAGTTCAACGATATCTCGAGGTAAAAAATCTACTTTATAAAAAAAAATATAATTTTAGAAAATTTAAAAATAGTTCTACGAATTCATACAAAGAAAGTGCGAACACGTGAGTCAATATCAGCAGAATATATTTTTTTTCTTTCTAGATTTAAATGAAACTCGTTTACTCACCTAGGATCACTAAGTCAAGATATTTCATATCCTGTACGGCATCGTAAGTTAATTTCCCGTCTCGTTTCGTAATGGCATCGTTAATATCTCGCCTGGTTTTCTCCTGAATCTCTTCATTCAATGCCAATTCGTGCAGACAGAAGGCTATTGTGTTCGATGAAGTTTCGTAACCAGCTGCGAAGAAAACGAACGCCTGGGCCGCAATGGAATTTTCATCGAGTACTGAAAATGAATTACACATACTCGGTTATAAACTCGGTTGATGTAGGTCGTTTCGATTGTTTATGAAAAATCTGTGGAATTTTGTTATTATGTTTTTCTTTTTTCGTATCACATACATCAAAGCAAAATACTCGATCGGTAGGTTACAATAAATGAGGTTGCTTCGTTGTATGTATTTACTAACCAAATATGGTCCAAGGTCTTTTATTTCTTTTTACATAGTATTTGATCAGTTATACGTCTGCAAAGTGGTACAAAGCAAATTACATTAGAAGATGCATTATTGTAGTGTCGCGACCATTAATAACGTTTCTTCGACGGAAATTGTAAAAGTATCATTTGCATAATTTAAGGTCAACTTCTTATCAAACGTACGAATGAATAAAACGATGCGAAATGAGAAAACATTGTCGTATTCCTTACACGGTATAATATTGGATTCATATTTTTATTCTACAGATAGTTACAGGAGTATTCGTACCTGTTCTTACTGTAAATAATGAAATAATTGATATTTGCTTATAAATATACAGAGAAACATATTTTAGAATTATTCTACTTTTAAAAATTGATATCAATTTTATTGTAACGAAAATATCATTCTATTTAAATGGTCAAAAGTTGATCTCACAATAGTATTTGTTATTATATTATATAAGATGTAATAAAAATACAATAATTATTTTTTTAAGTAGTACTCGGTTAGTCCTTTTTTGCATCTTATAATGCTTTTGAGATGATTAGAAATATCTTCTTTCTAATTTTTTTATTAGTTATGTCATATTTTACTTCTCTTACAATAAAATATTATTTTGCAATAAAATTGATATCAATTGAAACGTTTAATAGTCCAAAAATATATTTCTGTGTATAAGAATCGTGAAATATTGTATTGCAAGAATATTTGTACTCTAAATTGGCATGAACTTTCCGGGCAATCTAATTACTTGTTTTGCTTTCCTCCTACCTCTTTTCCTCCCTCTTTTAGAAGAACCACATTTTTCTAGTCATTTAGAATGCAGGTTGTATCTATTTCTTTCTCTTTCCCTCTTGGAAAGAACGCGTAGTACAGAACAGCAAACCAGTTTAACTTATTATTTTTTTTATCAACGGACGTGTCTTTATAAAAATAGCTTAGTCACATTTATAGTCATGATATATTAGTGTTTCGTATATCTTCTTATTCAGAATTCACTCGACAATGTATTAATGTCCATGGAATTCGAAGAACGTGATAAATATTTACGAGTAAAGAACATTGGCTCGTGACTCGATTAAACTGATTAGCGTTCACCCGAGAGAAGCATATTTAACACCTTGCTAAAAGTATTTTAATGAACGAAGAAATTTTCATCGATCCATTATAATTATTTTTGAATCGAAAATATTCTCATTTATCTCCTTTCTTGTGATTACTTCAATATGATTATAATTCAAATAATTATATTATTTTTTCTTGAAAGATAAACAATTTCACACATTTCAATTTGTTTTTTTCTTTTCTTTTTTAACACGTACGTTTATAATGACATAATTTTGTAATTATGACGCAGCTGTGAGGTTTAAAGTTCTAGGAAGTACCGTTATAATTGCTTCTTACAATACTGATGCGAGTGTTTGCTTCTTTTCAAGGTTAAATAGACAATTTCGTGCCATGCAATCTTTATTTTCTTTATAATATCAATGACATAATTTTGTATTTATACAGGTTGTCTCAAAAGTCGCTTTACCGAGCTGAAAAATTATAAATTATTGTTGATATTTGTTTTATACTTTTTTTTATAATACTGTAATTTGAGAATCAAATCTTGAAATGATAAATCAAATATAGTAATTCTATTAATACAATAATACTAATTTCTTGTTCTGGTTTTTTTTATTCCAGTAAAACGACTCTTTGGATCATAATTTTACAGTAATTAAAAAGTTGTAAGTGTACCTATATATAAAACAGAATTTTTAGAATAATTTTATTTAATAAACCAATATTGATAATATTTTAATTTTTCTTTTCTCAGTAAACCCTCTTTTAAGACACTCTGTATATAATGTAATAATTGAATAATAATAACACAACTATCAAATTTAGAATTTACAGAATCTTAACAAAATGCACGATTCGTTGAACGTCACACTAAATTTTCAAATTATTCCGTATTTACAATAAAACATTAAACACAATTGTATAAGTAAACGTCTTACCTATTTCTTTAGCAGCTTGTACGTCATCTTCATTCAAGGACTGAGTTATCGATCCAGTGTCGTTTTCCAAGTTTCCTTTGTTCTTCAGTTCAACTAAAAGATCCATAAAATCGTGTCTCCTCTGGTCACTGATCTCTCGTTGTCTGATCATCTGGGAGACAACGTTCTTGAAGAACATGGTGACCTCAGGATCAATAACCTGAACGTTTAGGAACTTGTAAAGCTTAGGCATGGCTGTACGGAGCATCCTCCATAAGGTTGCCTTGTAACTTGGCCTTGAAAGTTTCTTTGCAGCCCTATGAAATTCGGAGTCCTCATCGGTCAATGCATTTATTTGTATGCCGAATGCACAACTACCGATGACGTCTATCGTAAATTTAGCTGCAAGCTCGCGAACCTCTACTGCCGTTTTATTTTCACAAGTTTTGTTTATAAGTATTCGAAATTCTTCCGAACATTCGGCCAATAAATAAAACATTCGTTTGAGTTTGCCCGAAGAAAAGGTCGGGGTCAATTTTGATCTCAGGCCCTTCCATTTTCTTCCTTCCAGATTGAAAAGATGACCAGATAATGGATCCTGAATAAGAATATTTATTTTTATTTTATATTATTTAATTTATTTACGAAATTTAATAATGACACATCGATAATTTTTATTATCATTGTCGAACATAAAATACGACAATAATCGTAAAAATATTACGAGTACGAGTTTGTCGTGCTTTATTGTTTCCTGTTTTAAAACCACAACGTTTTATTACCTGAGAGTTATTGATAGGTATCCCACGATTCGCGAAACATACAAAATCCTTCACGCAGATGCTCTTCACGAGATCTGGATCCCTCAGAATTAATATCGGTGATCTGACGCGATATACTCCAAAGAATTTTTCGTTTTTGAACCATTCGTACATTTCCTTTATCCCTTCTGGTTGTGATTTTCGAAATAGTAGCAACGGTCCGAAATTACCGAGCAAAATGGTTGGTTTTTTAAATGGCACGCATAAATTTTCCCAAAAATTAAACGTTGCCGTAAAATAAAAGTACAAAATGCCTAATAGTAATCCAATTAAAACGAAAGGATCTAAAAATCCTTTCAACAGTTGCAACATTTTGAATCTTTTGTTTTACTGTTTATTCGATAACGATCGAACGCGTTTTATTTTTTTGTTTACTCGTAAAACGAAAGATATTTTGCACTTTATTTTCGATAGTTACGAAAATTTCTTATCTACGTAATAAGTAATCTCATACGATAAGAAAAGAATGTTCGTTCAGTCACGCGTTTAACATTCCAAACGCGACAATTCGTATTCTTAGAATTATTGGAAAAGATTTACGATTTAATTGGTGATCGATAGTATCTCGTTTAAAAATTAAGAATTCAATCGACAGGTTGAATTACGTATTTACGTTCACTTTTAAACGAGTCAAGTGATAACGTATCGATTTATTTATCACTGAAACATTATAATCGATCCGATCGTAGCACGTGAGGTATTGCTGTTACAAATCAAAAGCCGTGGATCGATGAATATACACAACGTACATGCGTGTACGTAAACATTGGACAAAGACAAAAAGAAAAATTAATCAACATTCGATTCTCTTTCTCGCGATAAAGAAAGAAATGAATTTTGAATTATTTTTAAGTTTAAATCGATTACCGTCATTGTTATCAACAATCGATTAATATCGATTAAACTTTGATCGAGTTTACGATTTTTAATTTACATTTTTTTTCTTGCACGTCAATAACTAGTATTGAAAAAAAAAAAAATGAAATGCAAGAACAGTTCTACAGTTCTAGTTTTCACGATAAATGTGAATTATGAAACTATTTTACAAATGAACGATCGATGAAAACTTCCTTGTTAAATCTGTACAACCTACTTTTCTTATTTTTTACAACAGTCCACTAACTTCTCTCTATTATAATTTATTCAAATAATAAAAACTCAATACAATCCTCACGATAACAAACTTTCGTTAATGACACTTTTCAAATCAATCGATAAATTCGATATTCCCAGTAGAATTGTGTACGATCGAACTGTTGCCCGCGCAAAACACTGTGTTGTTATTATCCTCGTTCATTGATATAATTTGATGATGCATCTTGCGTTACGATAAATCTCCACGTCATTGTCAACTAAACTGTGACACGAGTGACACGAGGTAGGGAGGGAGGGAAGAAAGGAAGGAAGGAAGGAAGGTATGTATGTACGTATATTATATAAAGAGAATGTGTTAGAGAGAAAGGAACGAGGAATTGAATTTAGAAAAAAAAAACAGATATAAACAAAGATAATGAAATGTATATATATATATGTTGGTGTGTTGAGTGATAGGTTTGGCGCGTGCGTACCTTGCACCCACCAACCAACCTCGACTGGTACTCGTGAACGAACGCGCACGCATTTATAGGAGACCTTGTTGTGTGTCCTGTCTGTACGAATAGTATGACTCTGTTCGTTAACACACTCTTTCTGAACAACTTATGCGTGCGTGGCCAACAAGGCAACAACTATGAAACGAACATCTACTCTAACTCTCCGTTCTCGCTTATCTCTCTGACGAAACATTCTGAATTCCCTCTCCCTTTTCCCCACTCCCCCCTTTTTTATTTTCTCTTATCCCCATTCTCTTCTTCTATCATCTTATTTTCTTAATCTTACTCTCTCTTTCTCTTACTCATTTTATTTGATTTTATTTTGTTTTGTTTTTTTTTTGTCGAAAGGGTTTTTATTTTTAGTTTTCATTCTTTCTATCAATAGTAATCGCTCGACATACTTTAAACAGATGCCACGAATTCTTCTTCCGTCTTCTCCTTCTATGCTTTAATACAAGTGGAAGAACTGAAAAATCTTTTGCGGATGTTTATCTTTCCTAGCCTAGGAACGTGACGGCATTCTCGTTTCAATCTTTTAAACGACTCTAACAACTACTAAACTTGTTTTATTTTTTAAATCCTTTTTTTTCTTCTTTTACTTCTTCTTTTGGAAGTGGTAAGTATTAGGTTCACTCGTGATAGGAATTCTGAAGTAATACTAATTATTCTATAATGATTTCACACAGACATTTATTGGTGAAATTAATTGAATTGAATTTTATTGGATTAGTCGTTAACAAAATTACGTAATTAGTCTTGAAATATTATTTTTCTTTTTTTCTTTTCTTTCAGATATCATTTTCCGCTTTTGTACGTGAAATTTCTAGATAGGACAAAAGATGTTAGATAATTCAAAAAAATGATATTATTCTTTTTTCGATAATATTTATTATATGTTTGTTGGTAGGTTTTTAGTTTTATGAGTTAAGTTTGCATTTATATAATGTGAACAAAATTAATCTAAAAAGTTTCATAATAAAGTAGACTACTAATCTAGGAGTTTTGAGAGTACTTAGAGACTTTTGGTCTATCCTAAATGTTAATTATTATTAGTTGGATTAAATTAAAAGTTATTACGTAATTGTAAAGATCAATTACTATTTTTTAACAACATTTAAGCTTGTATTTAAACTTTAAATTTCATAAGTAAGATTTTACATATATTTACAATTAGGAAAAAATTAAGTAACATAATTTAGAAAAAATAGTAATTAATTTCTAAAATCATTTAAAAATATTCGAACATTCGAAGAAATTTTGTATTATTCTATATAAAACAATAATCGTTATTAAAGTTATATATATATTTTTGCTCGTTTTTTTTTTTAAATATAAATCGTAAAGATGCTGCTTTTACGTAGTTAATCTTTCCATTTTGTATTATACAATAATAATGTTAGATTCGTAAAATAAAACAGGATGTTTTACAAAGAATATACCATTGACAGGAAATGTAAATAACATATAAAGGTAAAGTAGAGAGTGTACCTTGAATTCAAGGTTGTCTCGTTAAACAGAGGAAACGTGATCTTTCGTAAATGAAAATAGATCTTACTTTCTGTGATCCTTTACGACGTTGATATCTATGTATTTCTATATATGTATACTACTGTAGCTCGATTCTCGATGAGAACAGATGGTGGAAGTCTGCGATGTTAGTTGTTGGTTCTGCATTTTCGTACCTTTCTCTGTTAACCTTCTTCTATTTTATTCGTTGCGCATAAACCGGGAGTAAACAAGGGCATTCGGTCGATTCAAAATAGTATTTTATAATTTCAATAAACAATTATTTGAAATTTTATTCGTTTTTAAACAAAGTTTAAAGCAAATTATCTAATATTATTATCAAAATTAAATTAAATATTAAATAATATAATATAATGTTTAATAAATATTAAATTCTAAAAAATATAAATATTAAGTAAACAAAATAAATTGAATTAAATATAAAATTTATTATGTAATTATATTAAAAATATAATGTCCGGTTTTAATTTTGGAATTAAAATTCTACGTTCGATTTAACAACTTTTCTGCATTTACCTTTGGAAAAATATTATAAATATTATTTCATTTATAATTTAAGTCACCATTAAATTGTTTATTATGTTTATTTATTGTTAAAAAATAAATAATATTTTTTTTAAACTCTTCAGGATCGAATTATTGATTTCAGTAATAGCATAGAAATATTTCTTTTGTATTTTAATTCTTTTTAAATAAATTAGAAAAATACAATTTAATAAAATAAAGTTAATTTTTAAAAATTTTCTTAAACAATTCAAAATAAAAATAAATGTCTACAAAAACATTTAAAAGTTATGAAGAGGTTAAAGATCGACCATTTTATCGGTAACTGCATAAATTAGTATACTCAAATTCTTGGTAGATTTAATATTTAATCATTAATAAAATACAAATTCTCGATATAACTTGTACATTTCGTTTTTTTAATTTTTTCATAAAAAAAATTTGTATACGTAAAGAAACAGATATTTATCTAAATATAGGATCTGATTTTATATCAAAAGATTACTTGATGTTCATCTTATCATTTAATCAGAGAATCGTGCATGTTGAACGTGACGCGCGGGTAATATAATAAGAAATTATATCTTATATTAGTTAAATATCATCAATAATAGTTATTCCGATGTGAGCTTATGTTATGTATACTATAGATACCATGTGTGCGTACATACGTACATATATGCGTCGATAAGTATATAGGATAATTCATAAATTGTAATTAAAAAAATTAAATAATAAAATAATAAATAAAATGATTCTTCTATAAACTTCATGTGTGTGTGTAATAATAGTTTAAAATATATATATATAATTTGATAGTGTTTTATAATATTTAAATTTAATATAAAATTGACATTCAAATATACTTGAATATATTTAGAAAAGTAATACTTTAATCCAAATTTTGAATTAATAAATTCATAACTAATATACTCGAGCCATTGATGAAAATAAAATACAAATCAATTATTGTATACATAGTTTGTTATATACATGTAAGAAGTATAATCAATCATTAGGGACATATTTTTAGTATTTCTTTATATATATAAAATGAATTTTGTACTTCAATGAAAAATTTTTCTTACAAGCTTTTTATTTTTACAGATAAAGAATAAATATATTTAAAATGTAATTTTATTTATTATTTTTTTTATTTTCTAAATGCTTTTGTTTCTTTCATATGACAGGATATAATAAAAAAATATATGTACAGTAATATATTGGTAAAAAGTTTGTTAAACAATGTTTGATAATTATTAATGAATCATCCTGTATATATTGTTATCGTTTAGTGTGGGCGATACGGTCATGTGAATTCTACGTTCTATGTGGACCGAAATACGTTCTTAATTTGAACGTGATACAGTAAATGCTATCGTATTTCATTCTTTAATGTTTCTAGGCACGTCAAGTCAGCACAACAAACGTGAAATATGATATAAGAGATTTTGATTAAGATAAAATAAAACGTGATTAAATTCTTCTTATTGCCTATAAATTATTATACGTATATGATTTGTAAGATAATAATTAAATTTTAAAGAAAACTATTATTNTATACGTTATTTGATATACGTATAATTTTGATTATTATTTTTTATATAATTAAATATTTTTTTTAAATAATGCATCCCCTGTTGTTAAGTTCGTTGACGTATTCTGTTACACATAACTTATTTATTTTTGTGTTTATACAATAAGACCTCGATTAGACGAAATTTTAATTATCGGGACTTTCGGTTATCCGTTATTTTATGTTTTTTAATAATGAAAAAAACGTTGGAGCTGAGTCATGATGCATTTCATGTTTCTTCGAATTTGTTGTCCTCGCTATTATTTTATTATCTCTTATCTTTGGTAGTGTTTACTGTTACTGAAATATTATTTAGAACGTAGAAATAAGTACTAACAATAAGAGAACAATAGTTGCAGTTTTGATAGAATGAAAGATTAAAAAATTATAGAGAATGGATACAGACGACTTTGTAAAGACAGTTGCAGTTAATTTCAGTGTAGGAAAATCTACTGTAAAGAAATGAAAAAATAAATCATAAGGAAAGTGGTGTGATTTTAATACTATTTCCATGGAAGGTGTTAAAAATTGAAATTTGAAATTTTCGGTATAAATTATTATCATGAGTTTAATCGTTTCCTCTCAATAATTTTTTCATTACTCCTATAATGGTAGTTGAATTATAATATTATATAATATCTTAAAATAAAATAAATTAAAAAGAAATTTGTTGTAACAATTACTTTCAAGATATTTGCATTCAAATTCAAAAGTGTCAAAAGACACCCTTTACTCAAAATAGATATACCCAAAACCTTGATAGAAAAAGTATTGAATCCGAACTCTACAATATTTAAAATAACGTAAAGATATATGGATCAAAAGTTTATATAGAAAAGTATTTTCAAGTGCAACATTAATAAAGCAATAAAAATTGATACAGAAAACAATTTAAAATCATATATATATATATATATACTGTTTTGTAATACATATCCAATAAAATACCAATGAATACAAAAGTACATAGAAGCTCCCAAGTCCACTTTTCGTCTAACCACATTCATTTTAGTTACTAACCTGACCATCAGTGGGCGATAGTAAGAACTTACGCGATAACGGTACACAACTATCAAAGAATATTGTATTCTTTGATAGTTTATGATAGTATATGATATATTCTTTGAAATTATATATAGTACAGTTGTATTGTAATTGAATTTTAAATAATTATATTTAATTTTTAATGTATAAACATGTGTTTGCCTTCAGAAATACATTTATACATATATTTTTAAAAGTAGCCATTTAAGGCGTTCAAATAGAAGCAAATCTTAAAGATTTGTGTTAAATCTAATGATTTGGAATACCCGTGTACATGCCTGCATTCATAAAATGCATTGTATGTCGAAAAAATTTATGTTTCGTGTATCTGTACGATGAACATCTTCATTTTTGTGAAATTATTTTAACGCTCCTGCGCAGTGATGATTTCGAGGGTACAATTTTTCTGTAATATAAGTAGAGTACAGAGTATTAAAATAATTGTTAATTACTCGATGCAAGTGTTTATTGT